TGACCTTCCTGAGGCTTTGTTCCAATTTCCCCTCTCCACCCTCTTTTTTGTGGCTTGACTGTCGCCGAATGCTCCTGATTATTGTTTAATACCTTACTTCAGCCCTTTTTGTAGTGCTTCATTTAATTATAATTATTGTAGACCAAGTCTGCTCCATGCATGCTACCCCCATTAGTAAATAGTAATAGCTACCAATGAAATGTGTTTTCTAATTCTCGTTATGGCATGTGCCAGGAACTGCATTCTCTTTTTGCTATTCTCCATACACCTTCCTGACTAGATCAGGCTGTGATAGTTATGGCTCCTTCTTCCTTTCCTCTTTTGGAAGGTTGGAAAAATTAACACTGAGAGAACAAATACTTCAACATTGCGTCTGCTGGCTTTTTTGTTTTTTGGGTCTCTTGCCAAGCAATACTGTAAGATGGTGGTCCTACAACATGAATCAATCTTCATTGAGGGGAAGGCCCTCCCCCTCCCGCTCCCTGCATGACATGTCCATTCTGCACCTTTTTTTTCCCCCGCTCCACCTCACTGACCAATCCCCACCCCTGCCTACCTGTAGTCATCTATCACCAGCCCAATTACCTTTCCCCAGCCATCCCCCTCTCAATTTATTTCAGAGCTTCCCTTCCCCATTTCTGAAGAATGGTCCCAACTTGAAACATCAACTATCCTGCTCCTCTGATGCTGCCTGGTCCCCTCTGCTCCTCCAGCTCCACCCTTATCTGACTCCACCATCAGCAGTTCTTACTATCTCAGAAATAATCTAGGATGAGTTTAGTATTAAAACGTGCTACCCCATTTCCGAAGACAGTAAAATAAATTCCTCGTCTTGACGATTATGAATCTCTTCCTGAGCCCTATGTGTGTTTTTTTTTCCACCATGCTCAGGGATGAGGTGAATCTGTATGCCAAGGCTGCTCTTTTCCTCTGCATCACTCCACATCCTCCCATTGACTACAAGTGCTTGTGCCTTAGCTTTTCCACCTCAAATACAGACAAACGTGAACATGTTCATGAGGAGCAGGTGTAAGCCAGGTGCACCATCAGATATTTGCTGATCTGCTTGTTGTTTCTACTTTTTTCCTGCTCAGCCCTGATGCTGTCTCTCCCTTGTTATTCCAGAATGACTCTCCCTCCATTTTGAAACTGTTTGCAGACTCTACTTCCTCACCTCCACCTTTCCCTGAAGAGAGTTCCATGGACTGTCAACCCTCCAAGAGAAAAAACATTTTTCCTCCCCTCTATCCTCACTCAATGGCCCCTTATTTTAATACTGTCCCCTTGTCCTAGTCTTTCCAGTTAGGTGAAACATCCTTTCAGTGTCTGTCCTGTCTAGTCTCCTCAGCCTCTTCATGCCTCAATACGATCACCTCTCATTTTTCTAAACTCTAATGAAGGCACGTTTAGCCCGTCCAACCGTTACCCATCAAATAATCTCCTCGGTCCAAG